CCTAGAACCGTGGGCGCAAAAGAGGGAGGAAAAGCGCGGCAGCTCGCTCGAGGGATTGAAGGGTGAAGCGCGCGCGCCTCCTCGGGGCGCGAAAAAGAGACCCCGACTCGCCGGGGAACCAAGCCGGGACAGGCAGCTGAAGAGGCGTGGAGCCGGGAGAGGGTAGGGGGGAAGACCCACGCAAGCCGATTGGCTAGCCGGCATTTAGAACAACTCCCACCAATCAGGACCGTCGGAGGAAAAAAAAAGTTTGGCCGCCCGGGGGAGGTGTGCTTTTTGTAGCCTCCCCTCCAATCGGAGCAGCGGCAGTCGCGGCTGAAGCCGGAGCAGCGCGCCAATCGTGGGCCAGCCAGTACTAGAGAGCGCGGAGTCGGGGATGTCCTACAAGCCTATCGCGCCTGCCCCCACCAGCTCAGGAGCCGCCGGCACCAGCAGCAGCAGCAGTAGCGCCAGTCCCGCCCCCGGAGCCCCGCCGGTCGGTAAGAGCCCCCGCCTGCTCGCCCGCCTGCTCTCCTCCCGCGCCCGAGCAGGGCTGGCCGGCTGGAAGCCGAACGGGGCAGAAGGAGGCTACACGGCGGAGTCGCCTGGGGTCAGTGGCCGGCCCTAGAGGGTTGCCTCACCTACCCCCCCCCCCCGCCCTTTCCCTGGCAGGTTTTTCCTGGGCCTTCCAGAGCAGCTGGATAAGACTGAGGGCTCGGGGGTGGCCGATCAGAACAAGGGAAGAAGGGAGAAAGCCGGGTTGCGTTAGAATAAGAAAGAAACAAAATGAATGTATACTTTAAACAAAAGAGGGGGACCTAAGGCGAATAATACGTATATTATTATATATATATATGTGTGTGTGTGTGTGGGTGGGTGGCTTGTCATACTGATTACTTTAAGGTAAGAAAGGGCTGCTGGTTAAAAAGAAAAGCGAACCGGCCCAGAAAAGTGAAAAGTTTAACTTCTGGATGGCAAAAGCTTCTGAGTGGCAAAAGGGGGAAATAAATAGAAATGATAGTCTGCATATTTACAGAGATTTCTTGATTATATGAAGAATTGCAGTTCTAAGAGAGAGAGCCCCATTAAAGTCGGTTGGATTTCTGTTTGAGCAATATAGGGTTGCATAATAATCAGGTGAATCACGTTTTGCTAGATTAGCAATATACTAGAGTTGAATGGAAAAATAAGCATAAAGGAAGAAAAGTTTCAATTTTACTTATAACTCTGGCTAATTTGAACATAGCATAGCAAGTGGCAGTGGTAGGAAAAAGCAGTTTCATATATCTGAGAAATGGAACTGGATCCTGGGCTTTGCATTTCTTGTCAGTTTTTCTGTAAAGAGTATTCTGACTGGGTGTTCCCTAGGATCTGGCTACCATATTTAGGAACGGAAATTACTTTTTTCCTTGTACACAGACTCTGCTCTTTGTATATATCTTGGCTTGGTTACAGAAAGTTCCTGGAGGTATTAGCTGTGCTAATACCCTCCACCATGTACTTATGCTTCTTTTGGCATACTTGAGTCTATTATATAGTTTTGAAGATAAGTATTGGAAAGAATGTATGCTTGAAAAAGATTGTGATTGACTTCCTCATTGTATATTTACAGGATGTTAATTATTCATAAATAGTTGTGTGTAAACTAGAGGACAGCAGAGGAAAAGTTTTATGTCAGTGTAGAAGTATGTTCTTTGCATAAAGGACATTCAGATTTCGGGCCATGATATATCCAGTTTGATTTCATAATACTGTTATTAAATTTTACAATTACAAAGATAAAAATTAATACAAAAAATTAGAACGAAGAAAAATTAGAAAAATTAGAAAAGAAACAAGAATGTAACAAAGAAATATACACACATACATACACATATACATATATATTGTTTCTTTTCATATTAATAAGTCAAATTTAATTGTAATCTTTAGTCCCTTCTAGTTCCCTCTAGTGTATAGAGCAGTGGTTCCCAACCTTTTTTTTGCCCCGCACCCCTAAAGAAATTTCACTCGAACCTCACACCCCCTGAAATTTAGACTTTAGGAATATGCCAACATATAGCCAATATCCTATTATATACCTGGACTTTTCTCGCACCCCCTGGAATATCGTCTCGCACCCCCAGGGGGTGCGAGCACCCCAGGTTGGGAACCCCTGGTATAGAGTATAACCTTCAAGTCCTGTCAAATCATTTTTCAAACAAAAACATTTTCCCGTAGGAACACTTCTTAAAATTAATTTCAAAATTTTATTTCAAATTTATCTGGACCCTTACATTGTTTGTAACTTTCCAAAATCAAAGTTCTAATCACCCATTTAATGTTTCTTCCAATATTTTTAAGTCTTTAAATTTGTATTTAAAACTTATTTTGCTAGGGATTAAAAGAAATTCACCTAGTGTTGTAAAATTCAAAGATTCTTAATAGCTGAAAAGCACTTAAGAAATTTCTGAAAAGTAATTAGAGAAGGAATATGAAAACTCAGTGTCATAAAAGTGCAGATCATGGTTTGAGCAAAGTTGGCTTTCCCTCGATTCCCAGGGCTGGAAACTGCTGTCTTGCATTCTTCTTATGAGGAGCAACTATCTGGAGCAATTGTGGGTGATCTCAGGTCCTCTCCTTGTCCAGAAAGGAATGACAAAATGCTGGTTTTCTCACTGTTACTTCATTCTGCTAGCAGAGCAGACTTTTTCCATGGAGGTCCTCTTGAGTTAGATTTTAGATAGCAAATTGAATTATCAGCTACATCATGGACAATCATGGACAGCCAGAATAATACTGTTGGATTTGATTTATCTATCAGTTAAACTTCATGTATTCCAGTCCATGCAGAGGGTTATTAACTGAATTTCCAACATGCATGTATTAGATATCTGCAGAGCACTAATAGTTTTCAAAGAAAAGAATCAGCAGACTTTTACTTTATAAAATCTTCCTTTTCTAGTTCTCATATTTTCTTCAGTTCAGGGAAGTTAATTGCATGTCTATAATTACTGTGCTGATGTGGCTGTATAAAAAGCTTGTGATTTAAAATGCTAGACACTTGGTAGAAAACACATTGCCTTTATGCTAATCAGAAGTCTATGGACGCCATCATTATTAGTTAGTGTTAAAGAAAATGATGTATGATTTGTATAATAATTTTGAAAGGACATTTCCTGTGGAAGAAATCTGTACTACAATAGTTTGCTTCACTGTGCAGTAACCGTGAATCATTTGCACAATTAAAAAAACAACTACAGTTAAGGGAAGTGGGACAGAAAAAATAGCCAAATTGTATATAATCTTGGTAGGGGCCAACCTCAAGTAGTTATTCTTCTGGACTCCTCTGACCAAAGTAATTGGGTTGCTTTCATAGTCCCTTACTATCTACCACAAATTAATCCCAAATGATTCATACTCTAAAAACATACCCTTTATTAGTGGCATAATAATATCCATTTTTCTCAATTAAGGACTTTGTATTTTCAAGTTTTCTGTTTTTAGAAACTTTTCCTGAGTTGAATAGTTTTAGCAGACCATAATGTGATATAGGAATGATGAGTAGTGTACCATTTATGTGTACATGTGTACATTTGTACTATTTACTTTTCAAGTGTCTATAATTTTATAATAAAAATTGCAGGATGACTCATAAAATACTGAAATTATGATCTACTTTTAGAGTGTCAGGCTCACATGGTTAGGATGAGAAAAGCAAGATGAAGTTCTCAGTAAAAACCCATAAAATTATGCTTTATGTTATATATTGGGCTGCCGGAAGTTGAGTTAAAACCCACAAGCTACTGCGGTCAAGACAGAAAAGCCAGGGGGAAGTTGTCTGTTCACTTTATAAATATATTTTTGTTACTTATTCTGCCTCCATTTCTTAAAGAAGGCTTGCTGCTACTTCCAATAAATTTTATTCATTCATTAAAGGTGTACCTTGTCTCAGTGCTAGCAAGGCAAAGTCAGTGGCTCATATAATGTATTAACAAAATATAAAACATCCAAGATATGATTAAAACAATAACACAATAAAACTCTCCAGCAAAAACAAAACAACAAATAACAACTGGGGGGTAAAAGAGGGTAAAAGATGGCAGCCCCATATAAATTGAATTGCAATAGTCAGCCAGATGGTAATGAAGATATGAATTAGTACAGTTGAGTCCTTCTGCACCAGGTGAAGGTTACAATTAGTTTGTCATTCAAGATAAGATAAAATGTAAATATAATATTAGAATCTAAAATAAGAGAGAAGACAGTCTGCAGTCTAAAATTACATTTCTTTCAATACTAACAAAGGAATCAAAGATATAAAACATAAACATGCAAGAGCAACTACTGTATTCAAAGACTGATAAATAAGTTAAAATAAACTAATACCTGCATTCACATATAAGCAGCTGTTTAAAAATGTATGTCTGTGAATATATTTGCATTTTTAAATTTTCTAGGATTAGAAAGTAGGGTACATACACTTGCTAAGCTGTAATGTATATTATTCAGCCTTGGCCTGGCAAAATGTGTACTAGTCCAGGGAAATTCTGTGATGTCAATGGTGAAAATGTTAACAATGGTTTAAACATTTAAGAATAAAATTCTTTTTTCAGTCTCATGTAAATTTGACCACATTCTCCAAATTAAAATTTAGAAACAATTTAATCATAAAATACTTAACATTAAAACAATGGTACTTATTTTAGGGAAACCATCAAAGACCCTCTATATAAAGTTAATATATATTAAGTTAATATATATTTAAGTAGATTCTGGTTATAAAATCCTTTCTAGGCTCCAGGGTTGTTTAGTCTTTTCAGCTTCTGAATATATTACTCTAATTCATGCATTTCTGTGTGTGTGTGTGTGTGTGTGTGTGTGTGTGT